TGGGATGAGATGACTTGGAGCCACAAGGAGCTTTTCCCCTGTGTGGAGGTGAGGCAGTTCCAGGCAGGATGGAGGATCCCTCTGGGCACTGCTGGAGTTTGCAAAATGAGTTTAATGATTTCACAGCATTCCCCAGTGGAACTGGGAATGTGCCAGGTCACCACTGCAGCTGGAACTGGTGGGGGCTTTGCTGGCTGGTGGAGAGAAACCAAGGACTGGCCCAGCGATGGCTCCCAGCACACGGGGTTCCAGCCATGCAGAATGTCTGGACACACCTTTCATCCCAGTGCGTGTTCCCTGCTCCCCACAGGCTCCACTGGCTGAGGCTGCATCTCCACACGGGAGGTACTGCGTCCCAGGGAGCTCCTTTTCCAAACAGGGACACAGCTGTGGTGGGGAGCGGAAACTTCCCTCAGAGGAGGGAGGTAATTTCCCTGAGCCCTCAAAGCGAGTCAGGGACCAAACCCAGCCCAGAACCCACTGCCCCGTGCGGGACTTGTTCTCTTTCATGTGCTCACACTGATTTAGTCCAGAGGCTTCCCACTCCAGCACTTCCCATGACTATAAATGCACACGGAGTTTGGAGAGAATTACAGGGTAATGGCACCTGAATGGGTGTCGTGGTGCACTTTCCTGGCCTTTTATTCTTCTTTATAACAAAGAATTAAAAGCTTTAGTGGGAGAGCTGGCAGTAAGCTCAGGAGACGGGGAGACTTCTGAGGATGATTTCCCAGATTCTGCGAGTGACTACAGTACAAATTATGGTGGAAAATAAAGGAACTGACTCAGCAGGAGGCAAAAGGGAACAAGTGGAAGAGTAACTCTGCTCTGGAAAGCTGTGAGGAGAATACGACACAAAGCAGAAAAGAGAAATTTGGCCAAAAAAAGAAATCAGATGTTATTTCAGAGAGATTCCTTCTGACAGCCTGACTGTCCAGAAACTGCTGAGTGAGGGAATTGGGCCTTACACAGAGCCCAGGGACTTTTGGCCCAAAGCAAACAAAAGAGATGCTTTTAATCAGAGCTCATTTTCATCTGCCATGCAGGCCACAGGCTCTCACCAGTCCCCCACTGTCTCCCAATCTAAGCAGTGTGAAAGTGTCATTCCTGACATTACACCTTCCTTTCCCAGGCAAAATTAATGCTCGAAGCAACACTGATCTGAACACATAATTAAACCCCCTCTAGCCCACCTACCAAATAAACTCATTTCCAGACTCCAATTAACCTCTGAGGTTATTACTTGGGATAAGAGATCTCCCTAGAAATGCCAGAACTGCTCGTGCCAGGACTCAGTGAGCCCACTTGTTCTGCAAGTGTCAGGTTATGGGGATCACCTTAACCTTGGATCCTTGTCCAGCTGAGAGAGCCTCGGGAATAAAATTAATAACTTTTTGGCATTTTCTCCCTTTCTAAGAAATGGAGAAAGTGTTATCTCTTCCTCTCATAATTTTTCCTTGTATTTTGAGTCCCCAGACATACATACTTTGTTAAAGCACTGCCTATTTCAGAGGCTTTATCCGGGACTGGATGAACTCCAGTGATAGGTATCCGAGCTGCTTTGTGCATATAGTTGTCCCTAAATGTCTTTTTTGGAATCTGTTCCAGATTCTAATCATTTTACATTAAGACTCAAGGACTCAGTAACCTCTCCTCTCCCAATCTCAAAACAAAAAAAAAAAAAATAGAAACACCAACCCTTCAACCCTGGATCAAGCACAAACCTCTCCAAAATCCCAGCCTGGAGCCATCGCTCCATCAGTCTCTGTTCTCCGGGACTCCTGCACTCCACAGGATCTGCAGAGTCTCCCTGTCCAGGAAAAGAACACACATGACATGAATCAGGACCTTTCCTTGACAGAACAAGGTGGAGGGGCTGCTCTTTGCCAGCAGTTTCACATTCAAGTGCTGTTGAAGCCTCTCCAACATTTCTGGAGCCTGGCTGGGCTGTGGGAGTTCTGGGCTGCTCCGCTCCTCCACGCTGCTTATCATCCTTCATTTCTTCCACACCTGACACCACGTGGTCTCTAGAAATCCCTCTGGGCTCAATAAACTCTGGAACTCAGCCTCCTTACTCTGCCTTTTTTCTCCCACCAGTGGGACTCTACTCCGGGTTTCTTTTTCCTCCGTCCAGCTGCAAACTTTGGGGTGACTCGTGGGAATTTTCCGTCAGTGAAGTTACTCCCAACTGACAATTTCAGAAGGGATTCAAGGGAAGGGAAGAACGGAAGGAAAACCATAGGATACCTCTGTAGAAACCAAGACTAGTGCAAAAGGGCCGTTAAGAAATCTTGTTTTCATCACCCACAAATTCCCTGATGCTGGAAAACATCCCCTGCTTTCCTGTCTTCTCCAATTTGCTGCAAGTTCCAACACGAGCAGGTCGTGCTGGGAAGGGCTGACTGTGCCAGAACGTGAGGGCCGCTCTTCCCGCCCTCCCCTCCCCTCCGCTCCCCTCCCCACATCCACACACTGCAGCCCAGACAATGGAAACTGCTCCGTGTTTACCAACCATCCTGCTCCTCCCCGCTCCAACAGGGCCTCTGTGGCACAGCCAGAGCTCTGCTGTTTACAAGCCCATCTGCCGCTGTGGCTTCCCCTCACCTGGAGCTCCAGCGCTCCGCTCGGGATATCGCTCGGGATATCACTCGGTATATCGCTCGCCGTCGTGGTAGGAACTGCAAGGAGCAGCCGAGGATTTCGGGTGGTAGGTGAGCAGCAGGAAGAGAGGAATACAAACCTGTTCTCATCTAAAGACCCTGAAAATAATAATAATAAAAGAAAAAAGAACGAGGTGGAAGAGGAAATTCCAAAAAGCCAATGATGTTTTCAGCTGCACAGTCATTCCAAGGACAGTTTTTTCTCATATTTTTACGAGAATTTGAACTTTTAGAACCAGAAGGGAAAAAGCACAAGCATTCCAGTGGCTGTTTCCCTGAAATTACCCCCATCCCTCTGGTCTCTGCAGTTTAAGGTCTCTACAGGAGCTACAAGCCTCCACTTTGCCCAAACCTGTGCTGCTGCTGAGAGCTCTCCACACAGTTTAACTCAAGGCTACATTTTTCCAGAAGCCAGGGAGGACCCTTGGGAGTCAGAAAGAGACTGGGAATGTCTGTGTGCCCTGAGGCCTTCAGTGGGGTGCCCAGAGACTGCCCTGCAACCCAGAGCTGCTGCCCTCACAGCCTGGGCCTGCAAGGGCAGCCAGAGGCGCTGGGGGGGCTTCTCTTTCCCGAGGCTGATGGATTCAAAACACTCTCTATATCCCAGCTCTTTGCCAGCCAGCCAAGCACAGTGTGCAACATGTCTGGGCAGGCTGCAGACACTGCCAGGCTCCTGCCAGGCAGCTGCACGATGGGAAGCAGACAGGTTGTGGATCACGGACATGGTGTGGTTGGAGTGGGAAGTGGGAACCCCATGGCTCCGTCAGGCCCCAGCCCTGCACTGCTGTGTCCAGGTCCTGCCTGCTCCCAGCTGCAGCCTCCCAGTGCAGTGCTGGTGCCTGGCTGGGGAGAGAAAACAGTTGTTGCTGTTTCTGGGCCCTTCTCAGAGCCCAAAGAGCTGAACTGCCCCAACCACAGAATATCGGTGGCTGAAGGGTCTTTGCTCCCTCCCGTTCTGCCCCTCATACCTGGAGTTGTTACTTCAGCCAGGAAGTGGCTAAAGGAGCAGCAGCAGCATTTGGAATGGTCTCTGCTGTGCCAGGGGCTCTGGGAGGGCCAGCCTGGCCAGAGATCCCTGCCACTCCATGTGGGAGCACAGATGGGGCATGTTACAAACAAACACCCACAGAAACTTCACCCTCTGTGTGTGGACTCCTGATGGAGCAGGAAGAACTGGAGTATGGAGAGGACGGATTCTCAGGGAGGAAAAGCCCTTCACATGTTCCTTCCACCTGTCCCTCTGCCTGTGGATCACAGTGGATCTGCTGCACCAGTTCTCAGCCAGGAACGTGCCCAGTTTAGGGAGGAACGTGCTGTCCCACTTGGCAGCTCCCTGGCCCTGCCCTGCCAGCTCAGCACAACTGCACAGATCCCATCCCAAGTCTGGAGGCTGTTGGGAAGGGAGGCTGGAGCTCCTGGGAGGGAGGGGAGGAGTGGCTGAGGCACCCACTGTGGCCAAGGCAGTTGCTCTGCCCCGACAACCCAGGATAACATTCCCTTGCCTCTGCAACAGCAATGTGCCTTCCCCAAACGGTGTGTGGGTTGAGACTGCCTCTTTTTGAGGCCTTCATGGTGCAGGGTGAGAGCTGAAGATCCCAGAGCTGCTCAGAGGTCAGTGCTGGTTCAGCTTCCTCAGCCCCAGCAGAACTCAGGTAAACTCCCTGATTCCCAGACACTCACACTGTGTGTCTGGGATGTCCTGAAAACAGAATGCTCCGTGGGTGAGGGGAGAAAGACTGAAAATAGACTTCGCAAAAAGTTCCAGCTTCGTTCACTCCCAGGAATGGTTCTGTTTCAGCTGAACTGTTCCTCAGAGTAGCTGTGTCTCAGCCCAGCGCTGCAGCTCTGGGGGCCTGGAGCAGGACCTCTGAGCACACATGCTCCTCATTAATGCTAATCCAGGAGCAGCAAGGATCCGAGAGCAGAACCTGGGAGAGGATTAAGTCCACAGACACCGCCTCACGGGGCTGGGATGCAGGGAGGGATCCAACCTGAACCTCCTCCAAAACACGCACTCAGAGCTGGTTGCTCTGGTTTGGACCCGACTCTGGCAAGATGGAAGGAGCTCAGGGAGATGGTGAAAGAGAGGAGAAGGAAGAAAGGAAAACACTCTGTTCTCTCAGCCCCCCAAAAAGCAGCGTTTCACCGCTGGGGCTCTCAGTGTGCACAACAAACTTGTCTCCCTTCCCTCGCTCCCGCTTACATTGTTCACTTTCCTGCAAATTGTTTCCACATTCTGTATAAATAACCCCGGTGCCAGCGAGGGGGAGGGGGAGCGCGGGGAAGGGGTGGGAGGAAATCCAATGGCTTTGTTACTTTGGAGGAGAAGGTGGAGGATGGTGAGGAGCGTTGGAGCTGCAGCCCCGGCAGACGGAGCTGAGAGTTGCCATCGAGCTTGTGTTCAGACCTGGAGGAAGAAGAGTAAACAAGGGGGAGATTATATATAATTACAGACAATCATGTTGCCGGGGATAAACAGGAATCAAAAGCATGGAGGCAGTGGAGTCTGGCACATCCCCAAGCACAGAACAGAAGCCAGCGAGAGGCAACGCTGCTGCAACGCACTTCCCTGCGGGCCTGGTTTCACTTAGCTCAGGGCTGGGGTTTTTTTTCCTCTCTTTTTGGCTGGAGGCATTCCCCCATAAAGAGAGGAGCCCATCCAATGGGAAACAGAAGCCAAACTGAAGTCAGCAGAATCCTTGTCTGCGACATTAATAGATTATTACCCTGTGAGAAACGTCAGAAACATTTGGAAAAGATACAGCCCGCTGAGGTCAGCAGGAACAACAACAACAGGAATTTCTGAACAAAAATGGCTTTAGAAACTCCAGAGGCTGTGCTGGAGTGTCCAAAGGCAGCTCCTCCTTTGCAGAGTGCAGAGGGGGAGCTCCAGCTTCGGGTGGCACTTGGGCCCTGCTCATGGCTCCCGAGGATCCGAGGTTTGCAAAGGGGCACAGAGGGGAAACGAGGAACAAACAAAGCCAAGGAGCGCAAGAGAAATAAAGGCAGATGGCCCATAAGGGCTGTGCTGTGGCTTTTTAAAGGAGGACTTGGGGGGATTTAAAAAAGAGAAATTAAAAGCACCACCTTCATCCTTCTTTTCCCCCCCTTGAAGGCTCTGGAGAGTTACAGGCAGGGAACAAAGGACAGCAACCTCGGCCGGTGACAGAAGGAGGGTTGTTCAGCAAGGCACTGCACAGAGCTCTTTCCCAGGCACTGCTTGAAATCCAAACAGCTTCCAGCCCACTGAATGCTTAAGCCATTTGCCTGATCTCTCAGCTGTTCTTCATTGAGAACACAAGCAGGTACTTCAAAGCAAGAAAGCAGAGAGGAAAAATAAACATATAATAGGAATAACCAAACCTGTGTTTAGAATCTGTGTAACAGCAGGGGAAGCAGGGTATGCACACAGGCTCCTCCACCTTCTACCTCTCAGTACAGGTGCTCTAAGTGTCCTTTCCCCTAAGGAAAGAAAAGGCATTTTTAAAGGGAAATGATATTTACTCCATGAGAACAGAGTCACAGTTTGGTGAATGATATCACCTGGCTACCTTGGTTAATAGTATTTAGTGTATTTTCTGTGAATTCCTCATTGTGGGCATTCTTTCTCTGGGATTTCTTATGCTGACAAGCCCTTCATCAGAAGGGGTACCTTGTGTGTGCACATGCATGAGCATAAGTGCAAGATCTCTCTACTGGCCATGTCAAAACCCTTCAGGTACAGATGAAGTTGGTCTAAGCATAAAACACCTCAAATCTGATGGAAGTAGATCAGAAAGAGCAGAGGGAAAGAACGAGAAAATACAGGAATGGGTTAAAAAAAGCCATTTGGGGTCCAATCCTTATCTGCTCTAAATTCACATGGAGCCTGTGAGGTAATATTTAAGCCATCTACTCCCACGCCAAGTTACAACAGCTCCTTCCAAACATCCCGGACAGTGCAGAGAACCCAGAATAAAAACAAGATAATACAGCGATAGCAGAAATAAGCCGAGCGCGTCCTCTGACCACGTGCCCATGAGCCACGTGGGCACACACAGTGTCAGCAGTTGAGCAACACGGTGAGAGAGTAGATCTGGACAGATTAGATCCACTTCACTTTCTCTTTCATTTATACCTGACCAAGAAGGGGGAAGGAGACAGAGCTCTCATCCCGCTGCTCTGTCAAAAATGAAATGAGGTTACTGCTCCTCTGCAAATGCCGATGAATATCAATCACAAAATCCTCATCAAGGCACAAAACACAGTCCCTCAGTGTTATTAGACAGCAAGAATTAGAAGTTTATCAAGCTGGAAAGAGCAGATCCTCGAGGGAGAATGGATTTCATAAGCAAGCAGCAAATCCTTCTCCAGGCACCTCGGTGCGACTTGCGAGGCAGCGAGAAAATGAGAAGAGCTCCTACCTAAAGAGAAACACACAGCGAGTGGTCCCAGCAGGCATCTTAGGAAAGGCCCTCGGCGGGATAGCGTGTCAATCCTTCCTTGCGTCTTCCCGCTTTCCTGAAGCAAAGGGGGAAAAAAGACAGGGAGAACAAAACAGAGAACGATATTTGCGTTGCTGCTTATTTTTGCCCTGCAAAAAAAAAATCTGTGTGTGCTGAAGGAAAGGTTTCCACTGGCTTGTCACAAAACCTCTGCAGTTGGGTATGTCAGATATGGTTTAGGACAGGCTGGAGGCAGGAATATCAGCCTGACACATCACACAGAGGTGCATCCCCAGAGCTCTCCAAGGACCCAGCGCTGGAACAGCTGCTGCTCAAGGTCGGCAGAGGCAAAACCCAACTGCGTTTCACTCTGGGAATCCCAGTTTGGATACTGGAACCTGGCCATGGGGAATGAAAACACGACTGAAGCATTTCTTTATTCCAAGCCTTCCTGGCTGCCTCAGAGCACTGGCCTGCGAGTCCCGCTTCTGGAACCTCCAACGGCGGAGGAACACAGAGTAGTGAGGGGTTTGCCCCAGCTCCTCGCTGGTGATGTTGGAAATCCTTCTATTCCCAGTCCTAGAGACCACTATCATGCTCTAAAATGTCCAAGTGCATGGACAGAGAGGGGGCACTTCCCACAGTTGGGACCACTGGCTGTGGGAGACTTGGGGATGAGCTGCACCATCGGGGCCCTCTCCAAGTCCCCATCTCCTGCTTAGATGCTCAGGAGGCAGACGTTTAAAACTGCCACCCAGAAAACGTGCTTCCCTGTCACTGTTCACATGCTGACACCCCTTACACATCCACTTTGGAAATAAATATTTCCATTTTTATGAAATAAGCCACGGCATCGAGGGGCAGGGGTGAGCACAGCCCTCCAGGCCAGAGCGGCTGGGCACACGCACCTTCCAATGTGCTGCTGGAGTGAAGGCAGCAGGGGAACACAACGTTTTGCTTAATGAAAAAAAGCCCTGCTTCGAGCTTCTGAAGGGTTATTATAAGCTGTGGTGTGATGGAACTCGAGACATAAGTCTCTTTATATTTAATAAAACATGTTATCGATCTTTTCCTGCGGAGAAACTTCAATGAACACCTTTTTTTTTTTTGTTTAAATCTTTTGTTGCGGATATTGATTATTCACTGAAAATCCAGGGCCCAACGATGTGACCAAATGATTTGACAAAAAAAGCCCTCTGATTTCTGCACCAAAGCAGACATTTCCAAACGGGGACAACCCTTTTGCTGTGCAGAATCACAGCGCTGACGGTGAGTTTATAATTAGCCCATACAAATGCATATGCAAATGTACATAACTGCATTTCAGAGGAAACTACTCAGCCCCTAAAGCAAAAAATGCAGCTACAATGGGAGCCAGAGAAATGCAGCAAGCATTCTGATCTTAGCAGATCATTAAAGCAGATTAATCAAAGTTAATTTATTACCAAGGCTCCCACAACAGCCCACTTGAAGGGCTGTGACATCCAAGCCACGTCTGCTGAGGAGGCACCACTCCCTTTGCTATCAAGTCGCTTTCTCACACAGATCCACCAGCCAATGGCTCAAACACCTGTGCTTTTATAGCTGATGCAACATGAAGGTGCCATCGATTAAAACACGTATTTCTGCTTCTTTAAAACGCCAGATCCCCTCCTGCATCCTGGCTGTACTGCAGGTCTGATGGGATTTATTCTCTGAGCTGGAGGGGGTGGTGGAGCAGATCAGAAGGCGGCGATTGAGATGCACGTGAGACAGAAGGAGGCAAAAAGAGAGAAAGGAAGGAGGAAATATCAATTAAGGATCTGATCCCGGTGAGCAAACAAGCCCAAATATGTCCCTAAAGTTCCCACCGTCGGCCCAGAGGCGTTAGCAATGGCACGGGGAGGGACGCGGGGCTGTGTGGCAGCAGCCCAGCGCTGTTCCAGGGCCGGGGCACAAATCCCCAGATTACAATAAGGCAGCTTGAAGGTGACAGATTCCATTGTTGAAGGTGATAAAATTCCACGTGCGCGCTGCAAAACAAGGGCTGGAGCTCAGCCCGCGGACAGGGAGGCACGCCCCGGGCAGCGCGGTGGGAGGGTTCTCCTGCTCTCCTGGCCCTGGAAATCACTGGGGACGCGCCCGGGTGCCCGAGGTGGGTGACAGGTTTGCTCCCGCCTGACACGGTGCAGGTGAGCCGCTGCCTGCCAACAGAGCCTCTGTGTTCCCACCCGCGCCGTGCCAGAGAGCGGCGATTCCCAGGAAGGGGGTAACACAGCACAGGGCACGCAGGGCAGGAGAGGTGAGGGACAGCCAGGCAGGATCCTGCGGGATGCACGAGAGGAAATTGGTCACTGCACCTTCCCTCTCCCGCTCATGTTTGGTTTTACTGCTCTACCCCACCTCCCTCAGATTTCCCATGGTGGGGTTCACATCGGCACGGGCCCATCATGAACGAGGTGACCCAAAAGCTTCAGGCTTTGTTTTCCAAAATAACCCCCAAGGCTGTTAAAGAGAGAAAACACCCCTTGAGCAAAAGCCTGACCTTCACTGTCCTTCACCCTTTGTGCCCACTGGGCTGCAGAGGCTCTGTGGAAGGGCTCAGCAAGGACAGGCACTGACTTCTGGTCACACAGAGGGGCAGCTTGGTCTGGACACTGCCCCAACCAGGCTGCTTGAAATGCAGCAAAGACCCAGCAACACAGATGTGAAAACAACAGGAAAATCAAAGCCTGAGACTAAAGGAGCAATTAGACGAGCCTCGGAATATATTTGAGTCAAATCAATCCATACAAGAATTTCAGTCACGGTGTGCTGGTGCCCACACTACTCCCTCCCTCCCTTCCTCCTTCCCCCCCCAACCCAGGCTCAGATCCAGCCTCCCTGTCTGCTTCATCAGAATATGCACGAAGTGCAGTGACAACACGTCTCCTAAGATGCTTTATCAGTTTTGCAAAGTCCCAGTTCATCCTCCTCTTGTGGTTCCATTTACATATTGATGTATTTATTCCCCTCTCTCCAGGCAGGCCCCATGAGATTAAAATATTTTATTTACAAAGACATTGGGGTTGCTGCTCCTAACAATTAATTCAGCAGGATGGAACTTTGCCTGTGCTCTCAGATTGATGTGTGATCAGAGCGATCGGCCCCGTCAGCGATTCGGGCACAGCCGGGGCAGGACCGGCTACACCCCATCCCTACAAACCAGTCAATGGCTGCTGCAACTGGGAGAAATGAATTGGGGTGATGGGAGGGCCAATATGCAGAAGGGAAAGGTAATGAGACAGCAGAAGGAGTGATGGATAAAACCTGGAGGAGAAACTTTGCCAGCAGGGCTCACCTTCAAAGGCTGGTGCTTCAGAGCGGTTTGTGCCTCGTGGGGACTCGCAGGCTCTTGGGAGCTGCCCCTGCTCCATCTCACCCATCCAAGTGAGGTGCACAAGGCTGCAGCACGTGCTCCCGCTGAATCCTCTGCCTCCCACCAGGTGAAACAGGTCCATCAGAGCACTTCAGGCTCCCTGAAACGCAGCAGCTGAAAAGTCACCTGCCCATTCAGCCCAGTATAAATCTGGCACACTATTGCCTCTCCCTGACAGCAGCCTCATGCGGCGCCGCCGTTCCTCCCAGCGTCTCTGACATTTCAAAATTATATTTAGAGACCTGGATGGGAATTTAGTTCTGAAGTTTTGTGCTGCACACTGTCATATAAATATTCCACACCGCCGGCCGTTGGCTCTGTCGGTGCGGAGCGAGCCCACGCCGGTGCCTCTAATTAACGGGCTGAGGCAGCCCAAGGAAGGGCACCAAACACTGGTGGAACCCTCTTAGAAGTCAGCACGTGTCTGCCTATTAATTCTCATCCTGATCTTTTGCATGGCACTATCGCCAGGCTAATTAATCACCGGTGCGAGCTCCAGCATTAATTGGAACAATGAATCATTTTTTTTGTCTGTTCCTAGCCACTTTCAGCCTGTAGGAATGTGGGTACTGCCGTTACTTTAATAATTGTTATAAATATAGAGCCAGCAGCACACATTACATTTGGTAGGCATTAAAAAAGACGTGGTATTTGGCCTGGAGCATTAACAATCTGGTGCATGTTCAGGGGAGTGATGGATGCAGCGCTCTGACAGCCTGGAAATGTGCTCCTCGAATCACCTTAATCCAGGACACTTTATGAAGGTGCTGGGGAAAGCAAAGGCTTTAGGAATCCAGTGTCTGGATCAACAGGCTTTGGCAGGTCTTGGCCACTCGTGGCTTGTTGGGACTTCCAAGGTGCCCAGGGATGGGAACACCTCTCCGTGTACTGCACGAGGGGGAGGAGAAGCTGCTGACGGTGCTGCTCTGAGAGATCAGATTATAACTGTTTGAAGTGACTCAGGTGCATCCTGTGTTCTGCCCAGGACAGCACCTGCATGCACAATGCCTGGCTGGGATGTGGGAATGATGGGCTCAGTCCACGGTCAGGCTCAGTCTCCGTGCCAGGCTGGACACTCCAGGAAGAGGCTTCAGGTGCTGGGCAAGACAAAGCCACAGAGACCAAAACAGAACTTTTTAGGGAGGAAACAAAAGCTAAAATGTGAACAGCTATAAACCCCCAGTTTATCACCCAAAGGACAGTAAATATTCCCTTTCCTTGCCAGCCAGGGGGCTGGGGAGGAGAAGAAGTGGCTGAAGGAGAGCTCAAGGTGAGGCCCGTTATTTACTGCTGCTGATGAATAAGCAAACCAACCCCCACATCGTGTTTGCCTACAGGACAGGAAAAGCTCTGGATTCAGCAGGCTGGTTACTTTTCCTCCTCCTGGGGTGTGTTCTGTTCCCCCTCCTGGGGTGTGTTTTACACACTCTTCCAGCAAGACACCGTACCGCTATTAATTGTTCACACATACAAAACACATGGAATTCTCCTTTACCTCCACTCAGACCCCGCAGACCAAGTGGGGGAGGGCTGGAAAAGTCACCTACCAAGACAGAGGTGGGGAGAATAATGTAAAAAAAAGATCCAAAAGGATTTGTGTGGGGTTTTTAAAAAATGTAATATACTTCTCTGCGCCAGTTTAAAAGCACAGGCTTGTTTGAAGTTCCAAGGGAAGGCGGGAGCACGGGGCAGGAATTGGCAGGCTCTGATCTGGCTGCTTTTCCTTATTATGAGAAAATACACTCCGGTCTCCTTGTGCAAGGGTATGAATTCTTCATCTCATATTGTGTTTGCACAGAAGCGTGAAATACATCCCGAGCACTGGTCCCCGTCCCCGGCGCACAATGCGAGAACAACGAGGGCACTGAGAGCGGGGCCGCTGCTCTTGCAGGGCCCGGGCTCTGCACGGCATTCACCATGTCCACAGGGCTCAAAGGGAAAGCCCGAGGCACGTACTTCCTCCCCAGTGCTCGGGGGCCCTGGGCTGTGAGCTGTGTCCCTGTGGGAAGCTCCCGCCTTCCCCTCTGTAAATGTTCCCCCCGCTGCCGCTGAATCACCGAATAATCGGGAGACCCGTGGGAAGGGAATTAAAGGGTGGTTATCACGCTGCCGTGTTCTGCTCACTTTATTTGTTTTAAATGACCATGAAAGCAAAGCGGGGAGAAAGAAAACACACAAGTGGAAACTTAATTGAGCTGCTGAAATGTCTTTAAAGGAGCATTATGGGCCGGATTGCGGTGCCTCGGCTCGCACTGGTGGCATTTGCTCACATGAGTGGGCAGCTGATGAGGCAGTTCAGTGGGACCCTTTCTCTAAGAGAGCTGTACCTCTCACTGCGGGTCTGGAGCACAGAACAAGCGATGACACCCAGCTCTGGGGTGCCTGCACATCCCAGAAATGGGCAGGATGGGACCAAGCTGCTGGCACCCGGCATCGTGCTGGGCTACAAGGGTCTGAGCCCTTGTTTCGTGGCAGGGTTTGCTGCTCCAAGGGGAATAGCCAAGACCATGCTGGGGTACAGCTTTTCCATCCTGGTGCCAAAGACCATCTACCCTGGCTGCATCCTCCCCTGGAAGCTCCACTTCTGAGCAGGAACTCCACTCCTCGTGGGCACCGGAGGCTCTTTAGGCACAAGGTGACAAAACCAATCGAAGGCACAAAGCGGCTTTGGTTAGATGGTGTCTCAGTGTGGAGGCTTGGGAAGGGCTCACAGAGGGGCCATAGAGCCCACAGAGGATCTGTGGGCAGGAGAGCGCTCACAGAGCTGGGCAGCAGCTGGAACAGGACAGGAGAGAGACCGGAGGGACAGGATTCACCACAGGAACAGGAGGGAGCTTCCCATGGAGGTGGGCAGCAAAAACAGACCAAACTGTGGGGAGAAGACCCTGGCAGAGAAGAGGGAGGAACTGCCCTGACCAACAGGCTGGAGCTGGAATGTAGGAGACAGGGAGCAAAGGAAAGCCAAGATGTGGAAAGGAAGGTAGGACAATTGAGCACAAACCAAGCCACCCACACCCAAGGGAGAAGTCAGGGCGGGACCTTGTGGGAAAAGGGGGTCCAAGAGATCCAGTGTGGGAGCCCAGGGATCTGACAGGGAACCTGCTGGACCTGCTGGAGCAGCCACACTCGGGATAATCTCTGAATGGAACAGAACTTGCCTCTGGCTTGTTACACCCGATTTTGAGTCCAATTTTTTTTGTGCACTGAAGTAAAAAAATTGAGTTCCTCTCTAGTCAATCTTCTGCTGGATCTTAAAATCCTCTAACTTGCAGGAAACTATCAAAAATCCCTGTATTTTCATGCCCAAGTTCTGAGTCCTGTGCAAACACAAACAAAGGCAAATGGGAGGAGGGAGAGCTGAGCTCCTCTGCCCTGCCGTGTGCATCCCTCTGATACTGGTCAGGCCCTGCACAAAGGAATGGATCAGCTCCTTTCTGATCCCTCTGTCCACTCTCTTCCCCATTCACGGGCCGGCTCCAGCCCGGGAGCAGTTTTTAGGATGCCCTGGCTCCTGCTCAGCTCCTCCTGCCCCTGTTTCCATACTGATGTTTCCTCAGGTGCCTTCCGAGCCCAGGAAATCCCACGAGCCTGGTGTTCTGAACTCCAGGCAGGCAGCAAGGGTGAGGTGAGGGTACACATCCCACTTTGGCTGGGGAGATAATTAAAAGGGCAGTCAGGGATGGGAAGGGGGATGGAGACCTTCCTCCGCACCTCCTGCTCCGCTGACTCCCACTAGGTCAGCACTTTCTGGGAATTGCTGCGTTGCCAGATGTTGATTGGGCATCTGACAGGAGATGAATAAAGCCAATAAAGCTCTTATTTCTGGCTATAAAAACAATAATGAAAAGCAGACAGGGATGGGGGATTGGCTGCCCAAGGCTTTCCCAGGCCGCACTGAGCCGAGTGTAGCAGGAGCTGCCTTCCCTTACTTCCTCCTGCCTGTAAGCCAGGAGCAACAGCCTCGAAATGAAGCAGTTGGATGATATTGTGTACAGTCAGAATTCCTTGATTCCTGTCAAAGGGACTCTCTTTTGTTTATTTTGCATGGCCTTTTCCCACTGGCAGTGCCAATCTCCCCAGCCAACCCCACCGTGAGATCAGGACTCGAGACCCGGGCTCTGCAAACCAGAGCAGCTCCGGTGCCTCCTTGAAGGCCAAGTCACCTCCTTCTCATAATGACTGTTCTGCCTCCAGCTCTGCATGGGCAGCTCCTGTTCCCGTGCCAAAGGCTGTCCCGCTTCCAGGGCCTCTCTCCCAGAGGCACAGAAGTGCCTGTGCTTTCAGCTCCTGTGCAGCTAAAGATCAGCTTCTGAATATCAACCACTTCCTTCGTGCTCTGCTCTACCAGCCTGGGGATATTTGGCCAGTTCTGAGCAGTTCTGAGATTTTGGGATGCATTTCTGCATAGAGATTTGCTACACAGCTGCTGGCACAAGAGCAGTCCTTGTCCTGACCACCAGCAGTGACACCTCTTGGGAAGTGCTGCAAGAGGAGCAGATCACAGAATCCCAGAACCACAAAATCATAGAATCTCAGAATCCCAGACTGGTTTGGGTTGAAAGGACCTTAAAGCTCATTTCGTTCCACCCTCTGCCATCGGCAGGGACACCTTCCACTATCCCAGGTTGCTCCAAGCCCTCTCCAAACTGGCCTTGGACGTTCCAGGGATGGGGCAGCCACAGCTTCTCTGGTCATCCTGTGCCAGGGCCTCGCCACCCTCACAGCCAAGAACTTCTTCCCCATATCCCACCTAAACCTCTGCCAATGGTGAAGCCAGATCCTACATCACCCACACCTCCCAAAGCCAGGTGACAGCTGCTCTGGGGTTTGGGATTTGGAGGGTGAAGGGGATATTTATAAACAATTCCCTGGGTTTGTAACCTCATAACCTGTGATCTAAATGAGCTCCTGGGCTGCACCCTTTAGAGGTCCTAACAACCCACGGAAAGGGTGGCAAAGGAATCTTTTGTGGCAATCTTCCTGCCCCACTGGTGCCTGCACTGCCGTGCTGGGAATGCTGGCACCGACCTGTGCACACCTGGACAGGCTCTGGATGAGCCTGCAGATGCAGCTCACTCCCCAGCACTCAGGGCAGCCCTGCTCCCTGCTGGGTTCAGGTCCAGCTTGGCAACTGAAAGGAAACATCCCAATTGTGCATTAAGAGTTTTTGGGGTGGGCACCCCCACAGGGACAGTGTCCAGCCTGGCTGTCACACCATGGCAGGAGGCAAAGTTGCATGACTGGTGAGCTGCAGCCCAGATCAGCTCCCAGGCACCTCATAAAGCCAGCAACAGGAGCTCTTCTGAAACAACACCGCCTTCAGCCCAGAAACTGCTGCCATCCACATGGGAAACCCTTCTGCTGGACCTTGGGAGGCCAAGGAGTTAATTCCTGAGCCAAAAACCAGCGAGTTCCCTCCACCCCACAGGGCATGACCTGGTTACACTTGTGCAAACACCTGGCACCAGCAGTGGCACACACACCCCATGCATTTAACACCTCTGGCTTCCCAAGCCTTAACCTCAGTTGCCAGCATAATGGACTGGGAATATATATTTAAGGTGGAAGCATTCCTGGAAACTGGCTGTTCTTCAAAGGCATATTTACTGGATGTTCCAATAGCCACAACTCAATAAACATACATTACACTGGGTAAAAATACCTGGGATAAAAGAAGAGAGAAACTCCCAGTACCGTTTTCTCCAATATTTTTATCAATGATCTAAATGACTCTGTATAAATCCTTGTTGTGGGGAAATTTACAGATGCCAACAAGGTTGGTGGGAGGGAAACAAGAAGCAGGACTGGACTATCAATACCCTGGGATCTGACATGACTGAGACTTGGCCACACGCCAGTGAAACATGGTTTAAAAAGTCAAATGCGAGGTAAGACATCTGAAACCAGAAATGCAGGTTACACTCACAGGATGCTGCCTCAGAAAGGAATTGTTTGGAAAAGGACTTGGGAGACATCACAGGGATCTGCTGTGGCCCTAAAGCTGCCACAAAGCAGGGACTCTGATCCCTGGGTGTTCAGAAGGGACAATGGCACACCGGTGCCTTCTGGCACACAGCTCCAACAACCTGCTGGAAGGCCACGTTCAGGTTGAGCTCCTTCCTTCGTGGAGAAAGTGAAAACACAGGAGCTCTGCAAAGCTGGGGAATGGAAACTGTCTCGTGGCTCCTGAAGGAGCCCAAGGCTGTCCAGGACGTGACCGAGACAGGATCTGGTCACAGCTACAGGCAGTGATATGGGGGATGGCAATTGCTGGAGGGGGCTCGGGCAACAATGACTGCACATTTAACCTTGAAGTAAAACCTGACAGAAACAGCTGTGCAGGCTGTCCAGCACTGGAAGAGTCTGCCAGGGAACCAGGTGAAAGGATGGGATTTGGTGTTTTCCAAAAGGTGCTATTTAACTCACCTTTTGGAAAAATTATACAAGTGGTTGGTTAGACTACATGTGGCTGTAGGAATCCCTGGATTACTAGGCTGGAGTCTAGTCCTTGCACAGACTTTTTGGAGCAGGTATCTCTTCGTATCTGAAAGAATGGAGGAAGTGCTGTGGAACAGCTCGGGCAGCCTGAAAGACTTTTCCTGGCTGCCTCGAACTCTGCCCGATGCTCGGGGGATATTTCTGCCTAAGCCTCATATACTGTAAGTTATATGACTGTCTCTTCCCAAATTAAGCAAACACAGATTCCCTCCTGCCGAGCTGAAAATCTCAGTATCAGTTTCTCCAGTCCTCACCAAATCCTCACCAGTCTGGCTCTGGAGAAAATGTATAAAGAACCCCCGTCTGCTGCGAGTTCCGGCTGGGGAGCTGCACAGATATCAGCGAGGTTTCAGGGTGTAACAGAGCAGAAACCAGCTCAGCATGCTCATCTTCTCAAGCTAAGTCTGTCCTTCTGTTTGGATAGATTAGCTCTTCCCTGCATTTCCCCCTGCTCAGGGATGCCAGCCTGGCCCCGGCAGCCATGAGCCGCAAACAGCGGGAGGCCCCGCTTCATCCAGCACCAACTCCCACATCTCCAACAGTGCCGCCTTTTGTTCTCCTGGTTGCTGTCTGATCTCTTCAGCCCCGTCTTACATTCCTCCTTCAGGGCCCCCTCCAAAAGTTACTCCATAAAACAGGATCCTGCTTTTCTATTTCAAACCCAGGCCTGGCATCAGAGCAAAAATAAACAGGGATCAATCATCGCCCCGACACACAGGGGTCCCTTTTCCACCTCTCCCTTGGTTCTGGAAGATGAACTGTCACAATTCATCTGCTGCTTGGGTATGCAGGGAACGCGTGGACTCGGGCAGTGGGATACAAGGGGTGTATTTCCTAGATAAAAAATGAATGTATTGCATAGAATAAACTCCTGGAGCTGATCTTACCCGCTCACCTTCCTGCCAGGCCAAGCTGGGCACTCGTGCCACAGTTACTGGGTGAACTCCGCTCCTCACCGCTCTCACTTGACGCGCTCCCACTCCGCACAGCAGCTCTTGGCTCCTAAATTCCGAGTCATCAGTGGCAACTTTTCCACTTGCAGACTGGATCCTGGGTGGAGTACCAGGTGCGAGTGCTCTCAGCAGGTTCCAAGTCTGCCCAGACAGTGTCATCCTTTCCCTCAGGAGCTGCAGCGATGCTGATCGTGGAACAAGCAACTTCCTGACTGCACAGTATTGCTTCCCTGGAACAACAGCATTTCAGAGTGAATGTGTTATCAAAACAATAAACCAGGCTGTGCATGCTCAGATTAACTTTCACCTGCTGTTTCCAGGACTGAGAGGCTGCTCTGACCAGCTCCCTGACCCCTCTGTGACTGTCTCGGTGTTTGGTTCAGTCTGGAACCCCTCGGGGTGGCTCTCCTGACCTTCCCTCTTACTGCAGTCACACCCAGGCCGCAGAACTGGATTCCTTTCAGCCATGGGATGAGCTCCAGAGACCCACACGACACACCCAGCTGCTGTTGAATGCTCCAAGCCATGGGGCCAGACCAGACCTAACCCAAGGAATTCCCCCCAGCACACGCACAGTGGACCAGCACCAAATGTTTCACTGCCCAGATCTGTTCCTGTCACACCTCACTGCTTCCTCGTGCAGGTGTGAGCTCTGGGAAGCCTCTCTGCACCTGCCTGTCTGCCTGCAGGACCTCATGGTGTTTCCCAGACAGCTTGCACAGCCCAATTAGCTAAATTTTCCCCCATTCCACTCCATTCTGGTTTAGCTAAACAGGATTACCTCTAGCCAGAGGTGGGAGGTTGTAGGTTTGGAGCTCACAGCTTACCCAAAACTGCCCAGGGAAGCTGTGGCTGCCCCACCCCTTGGAAGTGTCCAAAACGAGGCTGGACAGGCTTGGAGCAACCTGGGATAGCAGAAGGTGCCCCTGCCCACGGCAGGGGATAGAACAAGATAGTCTTTAAGGTCCCTCCAACCCAAAACATTCTGGGATTCCATGATTACCCTGTTGTCTGGCAGCTTTCAGACGTCCATTCCCTGGAAGTGTGGCTTGGACCAGCAAACCTTCTCTAACTCACAGGCAGGCTCTGAATCAACAAAAAGCCAGGACTGAGGTTCAGGTAGGGAACTGTGTGTTTTGCTGGAGGCTCTGAAGGAAACAGAGGTGAATTTCCATACAGAAATTACCGGGATCGTTAAGGATTAATAATTATTTTGGATCTGATAAGCTATTGTGGCGCTAATTGCCTGCAGGTTTTTCCTGGGCTGTTGTGTAGGACCAAAGGCTGTGTGGGACCAGCCCCAGCACATTCCCTGCTCCAGGGACAGCCTGGCCGAGACCTGCCTCCCCCAGTCATTTTCCAATTAGCACAGGGCTGTGGTGTGATGAGTAACTGTGTAAGGAGAGAAGGAATCTGAATTTGCCTGCCCTTAAACAGGTTACTGGGATTTCTAATGAGTGTCAAACAACTGCAAACCCTCCCCAACCACAATAACAGGTCCCTGGCCAGTGTCAAGTCTAATTTCACTAAACAATGGTACCATTAAATTCCCCTGTGATGGTTGATTTTGAACTGGCAGTAGGAATGAGTTACACCCACTACACAAGGATTTCAGATTTCATCTTCGCTTCTACCTTTGATTTCTTGAGCAGATTTATTTTCTGGGTTACATTTTAATATTTTTGCCCTTCTGTTAATGCTAACCACTGTCTGAAGGTTTGCACTTCAGTGTTGCAATGCTGAAGAAATTGGGAGTATCTGGGTCTGCTGGAACTGGCCAGGTTTAAACACCTACACTGGCTCTGAAATACAGGTGTTCTCTCCCATGGCAGAAATCTCAGTTCAAAAGCTTCACTCTTCTCCCAGAAACGAATTCTGCCTCAGGAGCTTATTTAAATCAGAGACCAAAATAGAGGAAAATCACTCTCCTGTTATTTTCACTCTTCCCCTGCTCAGAGTCTCATGTGACAAATCAGCTGCTACTTATAGAACATCTTGCAAAACCTGAGCGCTGTTTCCCAGGGTGGCTGGAAGAGCAGTGGAGGTACCACTGTCACTGCAGCAGCACAGTCAGCACGTCACTCTGAACGCTGCTCCCACTTACCAAACACTGCTGGGCAAATGCTCAGGATGAGAGTGTCTTAAGGACTCTAAAAAAATGTAAAAAAATTCAGGAAAACCTTCTCTGTGTCCTCCTGCTGGTGATTCCTCCCCTCCCTCCACACCCTCCAGCACCAACCTCCCCATCTCCCCTGCAAAGACCCCTCTTTGCACCTCCAGTTCTGCAACTGCCATGGAGCATCTGGGGCCAGTCAAGATCATGGTCTGAGCCTCCCTACATAATTTAGCAAGGTTTTACTGCCAAAAAGTAATTTCCCTGCAAAGAAAGGCTGGTAAGTCTTGCCTGATCCCTTTAGCTCTGTATCATCTGTAAATTTAATGACCCAAATGCTGTGGTGCTGTGTAAATCTTTAATAAAAATACTACAGAGCCCCAGCAGAGGATCTGCTCCCTGGTCACCTCCTCAGTGACACTCACCCTTAGCTTCAAGCCATGGCTCTGCCTTCCTCCCAGTATTTTACCCTTTTCAATAATAGATTATTTTAACCTACATTGAGGGAGTTTGGACCATAATCCATCAGGCAAAATTTTCTTAAAGCCTTGTGGGCAACCAGATAAGATTTATACCATCCAGCCTGATAGTTATTTCATTAGCATAAGTGATCAAATTAGTCTGACATGATTTACCTGCAATATATCCATGCTGACTCACTCCCATTACAGGAAATTTATTCTTCCTAAAAAAAAAAAAAAAAAGTCAGCTGCAAACTAACTGTAAATGAAGATTTCAGAAGAACAACATTCATCTGGAATCTTTGCCTCCTGTTATTATTTCTGTTGTGAGGGAGCATGGGCATTTTTGGGTCATTTAGGGAATGGGCCAGACTAAAGGAGAGCCAGAGGGTGCAGGAAAAGTGGAGGAACAAAAGAATTATCTCTCCAGAGGGAGCAGGTACAGTCAAGGACACCTGACTCCTTCCAGAGAGAGACACAGAGCAAGGAATTAAACCTGGCACGAGACACTCCAAATAGGATTTCATCTGATCTGATTTTCTCTGGACCCTGAGGAAGCACCTTGGGAAGAGAGAGAGGAGCAGGGACTGGGAAAGCTGTCTTGGAGCTTCCAGCCACAGACACCACCCTCACCTCCTACAACTAATGAAACTACTAAAAACACTGTTGCATGGCCAAATTGTCATCCCCAAAGGAAGAATGTCATTCCAGTCATGTGGAGAGATGCCAGGAGAAAAGGAGGCTCAGGGGGGACCTTCTTTCTCTCTCCAACTCCCTGACAGGAGGGTGGAGCTGGGGGGGGATGGGGGTCGGGCTCTGCTCCCAGGGAACAAGCGACAGGATGAGAGGAAACAGCCTCAGGTTGTGCCAGGGAAGGTTTAGGTTGGAGATGGGGGAAGATTTCTTCATGGAAAGGGCTGTCAAGCTTTGGAACAGGCTGCTTGGGGCAGGGTTGCCCACCCTCCAGGAGCAGCCACAGCCTGTAAGGAATGCTGCTGGCACCCTGCAGAAGCACTAAACTGGGGGCCTGGGGTGGAAATCCAGCTCTGCTGCTGTCCTCTTGTGCCACCTGTAGGCATGTCACCTTCCCCCAGAGCTGGCTCCCCCTCCCACCTCCAGCCTGGCTTGGATGTTTAAATCTGAACTCTTCAAAGAACAGAGCAACTCTTGCACTCAGAGCAACTCAGGGTCCACTGTGCAAAGGTGTCTAAATCTGCTCCCAACTCTTTTAGTTAAACCAGAGAATTTGCTTTCATTTGCTCTTGGCTAAACGTTCCATTGAGATTTTTCAAGCAGGATTTACAGATGGGAGAGGAGGGAGACTTTTTATGCAGGCAGACAGTGACAGGCCAAGGGGGGGTGACTTTAAAGTGCCAGAGGGCAGGGTTAGATGGGATATTGGGAAAGAATCCTTCCCTGTGAGGGTGGGGAGGCCCTGGCCCAGGTTGTCCAGAGAAGCTGTGGCTGCCCCAGCCCTGGAAGTGTCCAAGGCCAGGTTGGACAGGGCTTGGAGCAACCTGGGATAGTGGAAGGTGTCCCTGCCCACAGCAGGGGGTGGGAATGAGATGAGCTTTAGGGTCTCTCCAACCCAAACTATTCCACAATTCCATGCCTTGGGAACTTACCACACGACACCTGTAAGCTAGTTTTTGTCTGGGGAAGCACTCTGGGATTGAAGGATGTTCACGAAGGCCACTCCACAGGCAGCTGTTGGGTAACCCATGTTACCAATTGAATCATTAATTACACTTTTAATTTCAACTGTGTCCTTCAAGGCGATGAAGCTACAGGCAACACCGTGCTGAGGGCAAAGGGAGTCAAGTAGTTATTAAATTGTCACAGCTAAGAGGTAGAACAAAGGTCCAGTCATTAAAGCATGCACAGAAAACCAAGCCTTTTCCACTATGCAATGCTCTGTCAGGCCTCCCCACTGCTTGGCACAGTAAAATAATATAGCCAGAGATGATATTTTTTCCCTCCTACATATACTGTCATTTAATTTCTCAGGGAAAAAAAAACCCAAAACTTTTCAAGTGTTTAAAAGGAAATAAAGTTAACTGTGACAGGCACTGAGGCGTTTCAAGCCTGCTGTGCTGGATCCAGGGATAAAGTGTATCCTTGAGGAAGAACAGGTTCCAGTGAGGATCCAACCCTGACCAGCCTGCGGCCTCAATCCTGCCAAATTCCGTGTGTAACTGAGGCTGCAGCACAAACTTGAGCACCACTGACTTCAAAAGCCTTTAGCACTTATTTAAAATTATCAGAGGCTTTGATAACTTGGGACCTTGGTCGAATCCAAGGATCTCTAGGAAACGAGGAGATGCTGTTTCCAAGCACAGGACACGCTTAGCACTCCATGTAAACCCCTTAATTAGCACATAATCTGTACCCTACCAGGAAATCAGAGCCTCTTCTCGATCAGCACCATCGATGTTCTGACAGTGCTACAGGAACCCTTCTCCTTTAATTACACGGAGCCAACCACGTGCTGTGATCAGTAAGAAAAATGAATTATTGAAGTAACGTGCATTTAACAAAAATTGCCATTCTGCTTGCCACTCAGTGCTCAGCCACCATAAGATGTTCTTCTTATGCAGGAAAATAGATTTTTCCTGCTGCTAAGATGTTGCAGATTTGAGATTTTTTTCCAGGCTTT